AAAAAGACGCTGCCGTCAGCTGATGATCCCTTTCGCCAGCTGATGATCCGTGTGGTCAGCTGTTGATCCCGGCGGTCAGCTGTTGATCCCGGTGGTCAGCTGTTGAGCCCCTCGTCTTTGAGACCCGTCCCCTTCTTTATCTGTCCTTGAGATTTGATGATTGTCCACGTCCGAAAATGTCATCCTCTTCTTCATGTTGTTCATACATACACTATATTAATTTTTATCGAGGCTCATGTTTGCGACAACGCTTACTTACTTGTTATTCTATTGTGCGGTAGCATTGATAGGTTTTTGATAAAGGTCAAGCTTTTGACAATACCTATAGCTTTCTGATATCTACCAATATGGGCACTAGACTTAATAAAACAGCCCGTTCCCGTTGAAAATAGTAGGTACTTATACGCTGAGTGGTGGACAAAGCGACAGTGTGCTCTTGTCTCCCAACTGTGCGGTCCCCCTATCTTCGGCATAATGCATACCAAAAGCGCAATCAAAATATGATTTACTTGATCCGCTACAACACTTTTTGTTTGCCGTATATTTGTAGCAGGTACTGAATAATTCGTTCGGCATTCAATCACATGGCCCATGGGGTGCATCTATCGACAAGCTCACGATTTTGGAACCTCTCTGCTTTCTCCCTGCCTATATCCCAAGGCTTGCCTGGCCGTGCGCCTTTATTGGTGTCAGCTGCTGCTGCTTATGTTAGCTGATGCGGCGTAACGTGACTAACTTTCTGAACACAACATGTGCTTCCGCTGAAGCCGTACAGCCTCGCCAGCGTGCTGGGAGGGCCGGGTAGTGTTGAGAGGAAATTCAGCAGTCGGGGAGAAGAAGGAAGTTGTGCTGATCTGAAAAAAAATACACGTCATGAAGCGATTATTATTCAATGAGTTCACAACCGTTATGGATAGTTTATCAGGACATAATGGGCAAAAAATAATGGATCAAATGACGAAACAAAAGGCGAGTAAGTTTCAATTTACCGGAAATACGTCTCGAAGATGGAAAAACAACAACTTCTGAAAGAAATTTAATTTTTAGTGAGGAACTAACGCCAGTTTTCAGTTACCGAAAGCGCTGTCCTTTCCCGGCGGCAAGCTTTCGAAACTGACTGTCAACCTCATTCTTAAGACAGCCAACCTATTTTGCCCATTATCGGCCCATTCTACAGCTCTTACGTTGATTGATCCTTCATGAGCTCAAGGTGGTTTACAATGTTGCACGTACTCGCCATGCACTTGCCCAGAGGCCTCGAATCCAAACAAGCTGATTGGGCAGTTCTGGGAGAACACCAGACGTGAGCTTTGGTCATAGCTGAGGAAGCCGTAAGCCGAAGATAAGGCTGAGACGTGTGTAGTGTGAACCGTGCAATGTGTAATGTGCATTCAGTAGCACGGGCGTCAGATACCAATAATCGTACTGTAAGCGATGCAGATTAACCGGTTTGGGTTGTTGCTGATAATAAGAGAAGTATGGCACGTGGCTCTGTTCGTGTGCTCGTGGATCATAGATCATGCGTTTTCTGTCCATCTAGACTCTTTTTCCAAGATACCTATAAGAAACAGGTAGATCCGATGTTTGAAAGTAAAGCCCCAGTCACAAATTTGACGCACCTGTGACATTTCCTGACACCCACGTGACTATTGTATTAACTTTTGTGTTTTGCGATGTTTTGACCTTATTTAAAGTACTGAAAGCTCAAAATGTATGATTAATGTTGTTTAAAGCAGCATATTAATAATTATGTTTGTAAATTATCGATAAGCTGCTTATAGCAGGTCACGTGATTGCTACCAGATTATGTGCTCAGAAAGCATCTTTTCAACTTCGATTTTGAACAATTTTTACCTCCTTTGAGGCCAAATGATGGACGGTTTGAGGCACACGATGAAATGCTGAATCTATTGATGCCAAAATTTGTTCGTTTTTTGCATTTTTAGACTAGTATATCCTGGCTCAAACTTTGACCAGTTTGTGTGTAAACCCTATGATGAAGGGAAAACTTCACGCCCAGCAGGCGTCATTACAGTGCTGCCAAATCGTGTTTGGTGGGGGTCGCTCTTTTTCACTCCATAATTATGAAGTTCCTTAAAAAACTTTTAATCTTCAAACGTGAGCATAAGCATAGTAAGCATAGTGTAAAAGAATGCATTAACTCTGTTCATAACTTAACCGCTATCTTCCATCATAACGTACCGTTTCCGGCACTATCTCCAAATCCAAGTCCCACTTCACTCCATCTAACTCAACTTTCCTAAGACTGCTGGTCTGCAGGTTGTATGCTGGCTAATTACCTCGGCATTGCAGGCTCTTCTCCACCACATATTTCCATCGGATTTACCTGGCGTGATTCTAAAGAGAGTCCGGGTCCCTGTCTAACCATGGCTGAGCCTTACTAGCCACCCATCGATCATTCTGTCGTGCTGCTTTATAAGTACGTCAGCCGCTGAAAACCACCCCCTCTCCCCCGCGCGATTAGGGCCCGTTCCTGACTGCACCGTCGCTGAGATGGCCGTAAATCTGAGGATATATTGTCGCCGGTAACCGGCCTTGCGGTGACCGTGCGGCCTGTCCGCGGTAAAAAATCAGTGGAAAGTCGTGGCCGACCTCTGCCGAGTACGGATGCAAACCGCAAATCTTCGGTTTTCGCCGACGGTGTCTTATGCCACAGCATTCGCCTAATAATTATGTTATTGCCTTGTAGAAAATTCAATATTACCGGGCCTGAGGTAAATTAATAATTCATCTGTCCATAAAACCCCACTAAGCGACTTCTCTTTGAAGGGCAAATATCGCTCAATTCTTCCTCCCGAAACCTGACCCAAGCCGCCTAGCTAACCATGCCGCCTCCCCCCCCCCCCCCATCCTTACAAATTGGTCTCCTCCTGGCCCGCTGGCTGAGCGAGGAAAGCTGACCGATCAGTGGTCAGCGTCACGGGTCGAGCCGGTCATCAGGACCCCCCCCCCCCCGCACCCACCCTCCCCCATCCTGTTCGGTTTTCCATGAACCCCCGGGATGGATTGTCCCCTCTCTATAACGCTAAGTGCCTGTCACATTTATCACGGGATATCACTGCAGCCATTTCGAACATCTAATGGTGCAGCCCGTTAAACAAAATAATGCTACGGTGATTTGGGACCTACACTCGCTATCAGAGGAGACAAGATATCGATGTCTCTATGGATATCGATACTCAGAGAAATCACGTTTATACCCGCAATAAAAACAGAAAGGGGTGAACTTTTCCTGAGCAACGTGAGCAAATGCTTTATTTCAGAGAGAAGTTGTTAAGAAATGTGCTGCCGATATGTTGCGAAGAAGAAATTGTGGCAACATAACAAATTGCTGTCATCAACAACGCGGAGCCAGCGGCGGAAAAGCTCATTTGTCAATAAGAGCCGATATTGCAGGAGAAATGTGAGCAGATACGACGCTAGCGACAGATAAGGTGACCGTGGCCTGATCGAAAGGCGCTGTGGTCGGCACTGTCCACTATTTTTGTGATAATACAACCGTTGTGTCTGTGTCCTAGGGACTAGGGTTAGCACATTTGTTGTGGTTTGGGTCAGGTAAATGTGCCGCATTTTGCTTGAGTTTTAAAGTTCCCTTGTCCCCCCGGCCTCTCTCTCTCTCTCTCTCTCTCTCTCTCTCTCTCTCTCTCTCTCTCTCTCTCTCTCTCTCTCTCTCTCTCTCTCTCTCTCTCTCTCTCTCCCTCTCTCTCTCTTTCTCTCTCTCTCTCTCTCTCTCTCTCTCTCTCTCTCTCTCTCTCTCTCTCTCTCTCTCTCTCTCTCTCTCTCTCTCTCTCTCTCTCTCTCCTCTCTCTTTCCAAGAACCCGAAATTGACGAATGGTTCCTGTTCGGTGTAATCTGTTGAGATGAACTATGCGCATATTTTTCTGGATATTACTTATCGATATTCTGGGGTACATGACTTGGCATATTCGAGCCTTCAAACTAGTGACCTTTTCGTGCCCTTCCATATACGGGGCTGGTAGATCCTGTGAAATCGGAACTAGTTTTGGGGTCAGAGGTCGGTGGGTCCCCTCCTGACACTTGGACCTTTGTTTGCTTACACTCAGCTGAGAAAATATCGAACAAAATGGCGATCAACTGCAAGTTGCTGGCACATGTAAATGGTCGTCTGTATCATTCTACTTTTATTTTAGTTAGTTACATGGTTATGGTCGTTGTCTGCGATTCTTTGTGAACGACGTCATTGATCCATTTTAAATTTAGCAATGTCTCCCGGTCGTAAGGACTATAAATCTCAGCTCAGTGCGTCGCCCACGATGCCTACGTCATGTCATGATGGGGTCAGCGCTGGGGACCAATCACATTATCGTGCAGAGAATCCCCGTCGAATTATTGCCCACCGCTCGGGCCGCATTGCTCGTTTTGTTCGAACGGGATTCTCGTCAAATAGATGACGCGACTGGAAAGGTCGTAAGTGTCGATGTCTCCATCAGCACGGGTGCTTGGCGACAAATATGGCGTGACTGTCGGCAGACGCTGACGAAAGTGACGCGACTCTCGGCATTTGAGACAAACGCGGCACGCTGACTGACTCTCGTCAGAACGCGAGTCCCGGCTTGGAGATCGGAAATGCGAACGTTACCGAGCTGGGTAGAGACATCGACAAATATTTTAGATCATTTGCCTCGCAACATTTTCATAGTATTATTCTTTTTTTTAGTGGCCTCAACTTTCGTTTTTCGCCTCGCGAGGAGGTGACCCCTACACCCGGCTCATGAAGGGAGACCGGTGGCCACTTTATTTTGTTTTTGTCAATTTTTCTTTGTTCTTTTGTGGAACGTGAAATAACAGAAACTTCGAACAGAAAGATCGCAATAAAATGATATTTTCTCCCCATTTATGTGTGCTCCTTTGACCGTGATGCTAGTGGTTGGGAACGAAACTATTTTGTTCAAAGCAATACCACTGATCCTAATAGTTGTGTTTGCCTACTGTAACGCCCCGTTTTCTCTCTCGCCAGGGCTATCGTGGGTTTTCTGTACTACGGCCTGACGGCCAGCACTATGGTGATGAAAGGCAACGTGTACCTCAACTACTGCCTCTCCGGTCTGGTGATGGTACCCGCCTCGGTGTCCATCTTCATCCTCAGAAGGTGAGAATGACGTCGAGCGGCCAGCACCACCCACCACCATCTGTCTAGTTAGCTTTATCAATGGCGTGCGGGATATCAGGCGCTGGAAACAAGAAAGCCCCATTTAGATTTAAGAGTATGAGAACTGGTTCGGTCTCGACAGATTTGATTGCTGACTGAAGCAATGTGGCGATACGTGTTCTGTGATCACCTAGCATACGTTTGAACAGGCGTTGTCATAAGCGGAGGCGTTCCGTTTGAAGGTAACAAATTACAGAGAAATGCTCATGGACGGGCGCTCCATAGTGTTTGTGTCAGCTCTCAGAATCGATTCATGCTGTCGCCAGCTTTCGCATCATCGGAAAGACTTAGTAAAGCATCTTATTGTTTGGACGGCAGCTTTTGAGACCGTCGATATCGATTTATATGTGGGAGAGTGATCACGTGGCATTGAGGACGCAGGAAAGCGATAGAGCTCTCAAACGACCCGGTAAACGGTGCCAATCAACCCACGCCGCTGCGTTTTAGGGAGGGGTTTTGATGGTCTGTGATAGTTGAACGTATAAAGTAATGACGAGACTTAGGGACTTTTATCAAGTATTATTTTTAGGAATTGCTCGTGGTTCGGACTTTAAAACTCGAACTAATGAGAAAATAGGCAGGACAGGACATTTTTATTATGCTCTCGCTAACTTCTGTATGTTGCAGTTGAAACACAACTACTTTACGTAAAAGCTACATACAATGCATGTTCTTTGTTTCAGGTTCGGGCGAAAGAAGCCCATATTCTACTTTCTGATCGGAGCGGGCATTTTCATCATTCTCTCCGTCACATGTCCGTACAAAACACGTGAGTACCGGTTCTTTCTCTGTCCACTGTCTTGTACAAAAAGTGCGACATGACACTCTGTTGCTTGCCCGTGCAAAACACCAGAGATCCAGCCGTCTGCCGCCGAGCCTAAAAACCACGCGAGCACTGCATCTTTGTAGCATGTCTGCATAACATGCGTGGAAGTGAATGTTCTCACAAAGCCTGAGTAGGTGAGAAATTAATGATAATTCTATGATGTCTCTTGGTATGCTGCCCCTTTAGCATTCACATAACTTGAGAGTATGGAAGGAGTTTCATGTAAGGTGATCTGGTTCTCTCCTTGACGAGGTAGGATGCATATTGCCATATATTTCATATCGCTTATTGCCGTTGTGGCATCATGCCGATAAGGTGCTGATGTGGCCGTCAAGGTGGGATAGATCTTCGTTCCAACACCACACACAATCAGCAAATGCACCCGCTGTCTGTCAAGACTTGAAGAACTAATGATAGATCACTACTCTTCCAAATTCCTGGGCGTCAGATTATGGCTAGTCAATATCGTGTGTAGAGGTAGAGCCCTAGGTCTTTAGTCAGGATGAGAGATAGAGAGAGAGAGAGAGAGAGAGAGAGAGAGAGAGAGAGAGAGAGAGAGAGAGAGAGAGAGAGAGAGAGAGGGAGAGAGATAGGGAGAGAGAGAGACAGAGAGAGAGAGAGAGGGAGAGGGAGAGGGAGGAGGGGGAGGAGGAGGGATGCCATCAACAACAATAAAACGGATTACCAGCTGTATAGTTGATTGTTTATATTTTTACCACAGTAACGAAGGGCTAATGACATTCTTTACCCCCTCTCTAGGATTAACCCAGCTGCAGGTCTTCGAACCGGTCGCATGTGGCGAAAGTCTGGCCATAACGTTGTGAAATATGAGCCCTCATGAGATGGTCTCATAGCTCGTGATACAGCTATTGTGGGGGTGACGGGGTCAAAACTAACGGTAACTTCGCATACGCTGCCCATTTCATGCATTGCATATATTTGGAATGGTATACGCGTCTTATGCCGTTATGATAATGTTTACTGTTTATGCCTAATATCCATTCGTTTTATTTTATTTTGTAAATCTAACTACCGGTCTGTTGCAAATATGTCATGTGTCATAGGTGTAGGAACAGGGGGGGGGACGGGGGGGGGGGCCGGTGGCCCCCCACTTTTCATAGTGGGGGGCCAGTAATGTTAACTGCCCCCCCCCCACTTTTTGCCGAACTTTTTAATGTATTTGTATGTATCACCCCGAAGAACAAACTTGACGGTTCTCTGGCCTGCCCTTCCATGAAGATTTCCATTTGTGCTTCATCGTTATTGAGTGCAATTTTCCTCCACCCAATTAAAGGTAACTTTGTCAGAAGCAATAAGTGGCAACTTAGGGGCAGCGCGCGCTGCAAAGAGAGACAGTACTGGCGCAGCAGAATGCGTAAACGGCGTAAACTAACAATTTATGCTAGGCGGCCTTGCATTAGTTGATCGGTTACTGGCATAGGCGTAGGAACAGGGGGCAGGGGGCAATGGTCCCCCACTTTCGAATGGGGGCCAGCAATGTTAACTGCCCCCCCCCCCCACACACACACACACCTTTTGCTGACTTTTCACTTCTCACGTTTCACGCTCGCTCGTAATAAAAATGTTTTTGGATGCTTCTGGAATTCGCATGGGTGCCAGCCAGTGGCGGATCCAAGGTGGGGTCACATGGGTCATGCCCCGTTGGGGCCCGGGGGCACCACAGGCCTACCAGGGGCACCACAGACCTGACAGGGGCACCACAGACCTGACAGGGGCACCACAGACCTGACAGGGGCACCACCGGCCTGTCAGGAGCACCATCGGCCTAGCAAGAGCACCACTGGTCTGCCAGGGGCACCACAGACCTGTCAGGGGCACCACAGGTCTTCCAGGGGCACCAAAGGCCCTTCCAGGGGCACCACCGGCCTCGCAGGGGCACCACCGGCCTCGCAGGGACACCTTGGGCCTGTCAAGGGCACCACGGACCTGTCAGGGCACCTCAGGCTTGTCAGGGCCCAGGGGCACTCTTTTCCTTTCAGGAGCACCACAGGCCTGTCAGGGGTACCAGAAGCCTAGCAGGGGCACCGCAGGTCTGCCAGGGACACCACAGACCTGCCAGGGGCATCACAGGCTTGCCAGGGGCACCCACTGGCCTCGCAGGGGCACCTTGGGACTGTCAGGGGCATCACGTGCCTGTCTGGGACACTTCAGGCTTGTCAGGAGCACCACAGTCCTGTCAGGGCCCAGGGGCACCAGCGGCCTAGCAGGGGCACCACGGCCTCGCAGGGGCACCACCGGCCTCGCAGGGGCACCACCGGCCTCGCAGAGGCACCATGGGCCTGTCGCTGTTACTTCAGGCTCGTGTAAGGAGCACCACAGTCCTTCCAGGGGCACCACAAACCTGTCAGTGGCACCTGCGGCCTAGCAGGGGCACCACAGGCCCGCCAGGGGCACCACAGGCCTGCCAGAGCAAAAACAAATAAATAAAAAAATAAAAATAGGGCACCACAAAAATTAAGTGGCCGAAATCAGTTGAGGTTTTAATTTTGGGTACAGGTAGGGGCACTACTTCGATTCATGACCCTCCCCTTGGAGTTTTCCTGGATCCGCTCCTGGTGCCAACGCGGCTACGGAGGCCAGGGGGACGCGTCCATGAGATTTAATTTCTGGACGGGAGTCTCCCCGAGATTTTGGTCGATTTTTTTTTCTGGTCACGTTTTTTTAAAACCAATTTGAGCATGCTTGCGAAAATAAAGTGGCCGAAATCCGAGGAGAAAATGGATTTTGGGGGTAGGTGAGGTTTTGTGTCTCTGGGAGCCTGCCCCCCCCCCCCCCCCACTTTCGAAAACGTTCCTACACCTATGTCATGTGTAACATATGTATATCGCCTTCACATAAGTTTCTCGTAACAAAACTGTTGATATGAACATCCCAAATATTTTCACGTAATTCAAAATCACCAGTGCAAAGTCTTGATTGCCACGAACTACTGAAGGTACAATGCCTCCCTCAGTATCGAGCACAGTGCCTTGCTCACTGCTCAGCGGTGTCATGCGGCACAGCCTACCACTCGCGGCAAAACCAGATCAACCGGCTGGCAACTGCATGGCTCCGTCGGCAAAGGCTGTCGGTAGACTTTAGTTGGTAACTGGCTGACGCTCCCTGACCGACGGATTAGCGTGTGCGAGCGGAATAAGACATCCTTTAGTTGATGAAAGTATGCTCGGTTTATTATGGTAACGCTTATTTATGTGCATTCTCTATATAAAAAGTAAAGCATTGGTCGTGGATCGACCGATTATGCAGCCGTTTTTCCTCTCTCTCTCTCTCGTTCTCTCACTCTCTTTCCATATCCATCTCTCTCTCTCTCTCTCCCTCTCTCTCTCTCTCTCTCTCTCTCTCTCTCTCTCTCTCTCTCTCTCTCTCTCTCTCTCTCTCTCTCTCTCTCTCTCTCTCTCTCTCTCTCTCTCTCTCTCTCTCTCTCTCTCTCTCTCTCTCTCTCTCTTTCTAAAATATCAACATCTCGCATAAGTTTTATCAGACTTCGTGCCGTCGTCTGCAGCGACGGCGCTGCTTAGCATTTGAAAGATTAACCCTGAACATTCTTCGTCACCCTTGATTAGTTCTTAGTATGTAATTATGAATGGAATTAAGAGTAGCTGCACCTTTGCCAAGGAGAATGTCTCCGTCTCCATCACCCTTTCTGTCATCCTGCCGTCTGCGCTGGAGCTGTATGGGTAGGATTTGTGCGGATCATTGATGGCCTTGGTCGGCGCCAAATCTTCTGGCTAAGAAGTGACTGGTTACCGCTGGATGACTGAGGATAGATGACACTGAACGCGTCCCTGCAAGGACGGGACTGGTGTCGTCCTCCCGCCATGCTAATTTCCTGTTCTTTGAGCATTTTTTGGTCGGAATTTGGAAATGCACTCAGTTACCTGATCGCGGGTCCGCAAACTCCGTATGGGTCAGAAATTGTCCTTTCTAAGTGAGGGAAATAGTTGTCAATGCCCTTACGCCGCCACTCTGCCAGTATTACTGTCTTGTGGTGTGGTTTGTCACGAGTCTCCACACATCCTGCTCGCCCGGTCTAGTCAGACGCGTCTTCACCTAACAGATCAGAGAATCCCGCTGTCGCCGGAGCGAATTTTTCAGTCTTAACCCTCGCCATGGGTGGCAGCACACTGCAGGCTTGTTATCAAGATGTACACAATGGGGATAGGCATATCCGCGGTAATCCTCTGGCTGCAAGCTCGCGTGGCGTATATCTCACCACATATGACGTTGTCAAACCACTTATGACGTCATCTGGTGGCTGGAATTTTACTGCCTATAATCTGCTGACGAAGCTGGTGGGCGAGCATAAATTTAAGCTACATGTTGGTTTTTCTGTGACCTATGTTGTGTGTCTTACTTCAGAGCCTCTCTGACCTTCAGCGAGCCTCGAGTTACAGGATGGCTTCCCGGAACCGAATTGCGAATTCCTCGAACTCCTGCAGTACAGTGAACTTGCTGAACAACTGACCCCGTCACCCCTGACCTGACCTGACCTGACTCTCTCCACCTACAGCGGATGGGGTGGACATGTACCCCGTGTATCTGGCTATCAAGCTGATGGCCAAGTACTGTGTCGTCTCCTGTCTCATCTCGATCCGTCTTCTCATCATCGAGTTGTTCCCGACGCCGGTCAGAGGCACCCTCATCGGTCTGACAGCCCTCATCGGTCTTCTCGGCTCGGCCCTCGGCTACTACTTCTTAGAGCTGGTGAGTCACCAGGCTAGGCAAATGTTCGTCGAGTAGATGAACAGTTCTTGCAGCTGGTAAGCCTGTAGCACAGCTGTTGAGTCCGTGGCTCGACAGTCGATAGCTAGGTATTTGTATTTAGTCAGTCAGGGTTAGATTTACATATCTCGCTCGATTTGTTTGCATTAGTTTTGTTTTAATAGGGGCTTGGTACTTTGCAAGTGCGCGAAAGGTTACGAACAAATGACAGTATTCTATGCTCTTGCTGTACTTGTTATGCATTCACTTATTGACATGTTTTTATCCTATTATTTCCTACACATATTGACCTTTTCTTCACTTTATTCTGAAAAGCTTTTCCATTTTACGCTATGGATTATCATAATGTATTCCACCAGCAATTTAATGCCGCGTTCTAGATGAGCTTATACTAAGACGGCAGCCGGCCTGCCGCCACGGAAAGCGCGTTTTATACCCGCACCACCAAAAGCCCAGCTCCTTCCACAACTCGCTCCGTTCCTGTCTCGCGGACTTTACCAGCTGGCGCTCTCGGGAGCTCGTGTCTACTCCGGAGAAGAGGACCTCTAAATTGGCGTCGGGCGCGTATGGCTGGTTGGAGCGTCAGTCTCCACTCTCGGCTCTGATAGAGGCCGGAGTTTGGGGCGGCGACGGATCGGCGAGGGAATTCACATCGATTTCCGGCCAATATCTGGCCGACGACGTCCGATGAGGGGGGGGTGACAGAGTGAGGGCTGGGGGGGGGGGGCAGAGCGCAGACGGCGAGCTGACAAGAGGTTAGAGCATGAACCGGAAACCAGCCTGAAATTGGAGGGGGAGCTCGTCAGGAAACTTGTGCTTACTTGTTAGTTTGTTCGTTAAAATTAGTGAAATCACGGCTAAATTGGTGAGCAACAATTGACCTTAAAGTACACAAAGTGGGATTATCACTTAAAACCTGTACATTTTGTGTGTAGGCTTACACATTACTTCGAGGGTTTTTGAAAGTCAAGGAGCCGCTTTCTTGCCGTCGCTGTGTCAAAGTCATAGCTTAGTTTTATAGGTACTCGAATTAAGCATCGATATTGCCGAAAGTTATTATATAAATCTCACTTCAATAGGCAGGGAAACCCACTTGTGGCTCACTGTTTTCGACAAAACCCTTCTCCTGCAGAGGATGTGGCGGAGGTGACGAAGAAAGCTGCAATTTAACATTCGGCGGTCGGCTCCTAATCCACCATAATCTGCTTGTTGACGAGATTCACGGCTTGTGATTGGCTGAGGCGCGGCTCGAGAATTCCGGAAACCGGGATTATGTGGCAGCGATGGAGACGCCTATGTCCGGGATTTAGTTGACATTTTTTTTTTTTTTTTTTTATAAATTTAGCTCGAATGTTTGAATGGACGGATTGACAGAGCCGGAGCCCACGCTAAGCAGAGCTTGTTGCGTAGACTCCGACCCCTACCGTCCGATCGCGCAATTCCGGGTAACGGGAGAATTTAGATGCCAAAGTTTAACGTGCCCTTCAAAGCCGGACACGGCCTGTCCCACTCAACTGACTTCAACTGGCTGCGGCTGCTCCCACCAACCGCAGACCATCCCCGTCAGGAGTCTCAAATATCGAGCGCCGGAGCGTCTCGAACCCGGGCTCTCACTACCGGGAGTCCAATGCTCTACCAACTGAGCTACGGGACAGGCAAATTGAGATGATATATGACCATATAATATTGGCAGATGTCAGAGGGTGAAAATTATACTTGTGCCTGTGAGCATTGGTTTGGTAATTCAAATCGAAAGCTTTTATTGTCCTATTAACCCTCGCCGGCACAGGTGGGGGGGGGGGGGGTTGATGCAACCCCCCCTAAGGTTTTTCGCGAATAACTCGCGTAAAAAGCGGCCGATCGCGACGAAACTTTCAGTACCCTCGCATTGATCAATTTTACACTTACCCTGAAAATTTCATGACCCTGACCCTAATGACCTTTGACCTGTGACCTCTTTACTGTGACCATGTTTGGCCGAAATCGCGGTTCGGCGCATGTCGGCTCGCATTAGCCGCGCGTTTGCAAGCTTTTCGTGGTTTCAAACGTTCAAACATGTGAGTTGATGTTGCTTCCATGCATTAGGGTGGGTGTCAAGGTCACCTGAAGGTCAGGTCAGGTCATTGACCTTTGGTGACCTCGGGTGACCTCGGTTCACTTTTTCGAGTTTTACATGTTTCTAGGCTAGTTTTTGGAGCTGAATTCGAATTTAGCAACCATTTGAACATTTACGAAGTACCTAGTTTTGGTGCCTTCGTAACATGTTACGAAGCTGTCCGAGACGGTTGACACGTATTACGAATACCCGTCACAACCCCTACCGGTTGACCTGACCTGACCTGACCCGACCTGGCCTAAATGCTTAAAGACATCATCTCTGATCAAAACTAACACGATATTCGTGATCAGCACCCCGGAAAACCACATAGCAGCCACACTTTACGACTTTCTAACAGGTCCCGATTTTCCCGGTTTTCGGGTCATTGACCTGACCTGGAAGGTCACCCGATGACCTAGGACCTTAAAATTGGGTATCATCGGCTTCCTCTCGTGACGGGCAACACGCTCGTTTTTTCCGCGAAGCTCTAGCTCGATCAGGGGCCAAACGCGAGGGGGGGTCATACCAACCCCCCTTGTGCCGTCGAAGGACTCAAAATGGCCTATGCCGGCGAGGGTTAACACTGGATGTTCGCGCCGATTGTTTTACTAATGGCCAACATTGATGGACCACCACAATTAGCGTTTGAATTGGGACGGCCTCTGCACAGGGCATGCGTAGTCTTTGTCCTTTATCTGCGTGAATGCTGATGAATGAGTTCAGCCATGCGGTGTGCCGCGGAAATGGAACGTATCGATGGAAAACCAAGACTCGTCAGTCGCCATTTATTACCTAGCTGGCTGACTAATTGGCTCAATTAGCTCCCGTGATGCCGTTTTCAACCTAAAAGCTACGATGCGAGTCATCGACGAGAATCGAAGCTGCTCCCACTTAATTTAAACGGACCCATTTAATACGCGTAAGGAAACATTAAACTGTGGTCTGTGTGATTAAAGATAAGCGGAATTTGGAAGTCTGAATGCTTTATTGACTAATGGTACAGTTACCGAATAAATACGCACGGAATGTAAATAAACAAGAGAGCGTTGCACTTTCGATAAAAATAGAATATTTACGCAACTTCGTGAACGCAGCGACACATTGCTCAAATCATGAATAATGTTCCCATTACTTGTAGTGGCGTAAAACTTGAACAAAATAAAACGTGCAATAAACCTGTCGCTGTGAAAACCTTTGTCGCTGCCGAATTCCAATATCCCCTTCCCCTTCCCAGTCAAAAGTTCTTCGCATTCCTGTCACATCTCGCGCGCGCGATCGACCCCGGCTCCAGCTCTGCCTCATAGCGGGCCGGTCGGTCACCACCCGAGGCCAGTGCGAGTCCTTTTGATGTTGCCGCCACACTGCCACAATGGCTGGCAGTCGGAGTGGGCGCGTGTTTTCGTCTTCAGACGGAAGGAGGCAGCGGATCTCTCTGTAGAGAGACAAACAATGCCAGATGCGCGGAAGGAACGCTAGAAATGTCGCCGGCGGATCCAGCCAGACAGAAATGCTGGAATAAATTGCATTTATATTATCTTATAATGACGGCTCTTGAGGTTTGAACGTCTCGATAGACAAAAGCTAGGAATTCCTTCATATTATTTTTCATGGGCATGTCTACGTGTTTGGTAAAAGTATATTTCTCCAATAATAAGTTATTTTACTTCTAAATCATGTAGGAACCATTAATTGTCCACACTTTGCAACACACCTACGTAAATGCCTTCAGGTATCTTTCAACGTGTTTGGGATGGGTCTCATGCTGTATTCTAAAAACGTGATTACTGTAAGGCCGGATTACCTACCTACTCATTATCGGGAAATGGCCCATAAGCGGGCCCAAATATGCATGTCTGACGTTAGAAGCCTCTGAAAGGTTCTCGGTGTGCCAAGTTATGCGCCGGATACAGCTGAATTAGCTGATGTAGTCGCTCACGATTGTTGATCCAGCAGTTAGGCCTTATCGATTAACGTTGATCGATATCTCATTCGCAGCTCAGCTTTCTAAAAGGCGACTCGCTGTGGCCTCTTCACCCTTCCTAACACCGGGAAACATTTTCTCCGCCATTCCACTGACAGTGACAAGCAGGGGCGGCGCCACCGATTTTGGATAGGGGGGGACACGGACTTGATATGGTGAAGCCAATAATGACGTTCAGCCACCATAGTAAAAGGATACTAATGGGGATGAGTAAAAACATGTCTTCGCAGTCTTGCAGGATACCTATTTGCTGTCAGTGCTAGATAATAGTACCTATTTCTTTGCAACTAAGAACATAGCATGTTGGTTTTGGTGCATTTTTCATTTTTAAATAAGCTCGTACGACATCCTACAATAACTTCAAATACCGTTGATAAAAAAAAACGAATAGATACATGTCTAGACAGATTGTATTTCACCATCACTTCCAGCAATATCACTACCAATATCACGATATCAGTGCACCGTGATGCGTGGGGCCGCTACACTCATTTCAGTGGAGTCCGCGCTTTCCATAACCGAACACCCTTTGTCGGGACGAGTTGAGGCTGGCGAATATGTCCGCCACGCGGCTGGGATCTGTCCTGTCCAGCCGTTGACGGTGAACATGGCACACCGCTGCTGCATTCACCCTCCTTTGCGTCATCGTCGATCGGAGCCACGTTTTGAGCCTTCTCAGTGCACTGAAGCTCCGTTCAGCAGTGGCAGAGCTGGCTGGGAGGGTCATCAACAGTCGCACCAGTTTCACAACTTCCGGAAACATCTCCCGAGCGTTTCGATCCATGCTGCGTAGGATGGATGCAGCTTCAGCGAGATGAGAGGGCCTCTGACGTCTGAACACTACTGCAAGCTGCGCCGCCAGATCATCGGCACTGAAGTCCCCTTTCCAGGGAGATCCGCTGA